CACGTGCCATCCAACATGGCCTTGATCCAGAGATGGGGCATCCATAGCTTCCCTGGGTAACCCATGCCAGCATTTCACCACCCTCATCATGAATAACCTCTTCACCCAGAGGGTGGTGAGGCACTGGAACAGGTTGCCCAAGGAAGCTGTGGATGCCCCATCCCTGCAGGCATTCAAGGCCAGGCTGGATGTGGCTCTGGGCAGCCTGGGCTGCTGGTTGGCGACCTGCACACAGCAGGGGTTGGAACTGGATGAGCATCGTGCTCCTTTGCAACCCAGGCCATTCTATGATTCTATGATTCTTAATCAGTTTCTATATGGCAGAAAGTCCACTGAGGACTGTTGACAGCTACAAAAGAGTCCAGCAGAAATTTGTGCAGCTCCACAATAAAACAGAGACAAATACTGGAACAAAGGGAGACTGATAATACTGATATAAGAAATAGTCTGGTCCCTCCTCCTGGAGAAGCTGAGGAATCATTCCTCTTCCACTTTTCTTTTCAGCATTTGGCTTTCCTTATCTGTCCTTATCACTTTAATTCCCTCTCTAGAGCAAAGGAGTCAAATTCTGGGTCCTGCTGAGATCTCATTTTCTTCAAATTCTGTTTTTCAAGCATACTTTGTAGGTGACGGCTGGACAGGTTTGTACACTTAGGGTCATCACATGCTCCTTATTTCTTTTCATACAAAGGCATCTGAAGAATTTAAAGCATTTAAGAGGAAACAGTCAACATAAAATATCAGGAAAAAAAGAAAAAGGAAAAAAGAAACAACAGAAAATCTCAAGGCAATCGGTTTCTGAAGCATTGCAGACAGAGCCAGCAGCTGGGGGGGGGGGGAGGGAACAGTACTGTGAAAGATAAAACAGTAATGAGCATAACAGCTGGGCATGAGAAGCAGAGTGGGAGAAAAAGGTGAAAACATCAGAGCCGTGATTCTTTAGGGCTGGCTGTTTTCTCTAATAGAGCACCAGCCTTGCTTTTCACGACCCATGGTTACAGTTGTAGCTTGAAAACTGTGTTCTGTTGGACCTCATCCAGATGAGCTGTGGGGAACCATTTAGTTTATGTCTGCATTCACAGATGCTGAACACAGCAAGGGGCAAAGCAAAGGCAGGAGGGTTGAGTTATTGCAAAATATAGGAACTTATAAGATGTTCTTCCACTTCTAACTTGGTAGTGCATCGCATTTCATGCCGTACTTTTTGCTACACGAAACACTGCTGCAGAGAAATGGATAACAGAATCTACTATTACTATCATTAATTCTTACCCCATGTAGTAGGAGTTGTAGAATCAGAGAATCATAGAATCATCCATGTTGAAAAAGACCTCTGAGATCATCTAGTCCAACCAACAACCCAATCCCAGCCCACTAAACAACTCTCTGTGACGTAGTTGTTCTAAATATTGTAGATTACAATACTAGATACAGATTACACAGTTTGGGTTTGTGTTTTACATGCAGTTGACTTTTTATCACATGTTAACAGAAGACTATGGAGCTACACTGCTTTCAGAGCAAGGTAGTATAGTTTAGCTCATTGGGAGGATAAACCACAGTACCTGCCATCATTAATATCATACTGTTAAAAACAATTAAGAAAAGGTTACTACCTCTTCATCATATTTGTTCAAGCAATGCTTGGTGACTTACAAGAGAGATTCAACTATGGTGAGCAGCACTCCATTTCACTAAGTCTGGGAGCAAAAATGCTTTGGAAGTAATTGGGTGCTTTCCAAATATTCATTGTGGGGGGAGTATGTCATATTGTACATGACTTGCTAGCAGTCACCAGCAAGGTGTTCTTCTAAACAGAGTAAGCAGTATGTCAAAGCTTTTGAGAAAACAGGTCTGTTGATGTCCCATCCTGCAATAATGGATATAACGCCTTGTTGGAAATGAGAGTGGCAGGATATGGCTCAAAATAAGGATCAGACTTCAAAAGCAAGTCTAGAAGGTGAGGGCTTAAAAGTGATAGAGTGGGATGTTACAGTACTAGCACTGAAGATGAAATGAAATACACGTGAAACACTTCCACAAGAACTAATGAAGATATGGAGAAATGGCAGCAAAGAGGATCCTTTGAAAGAAATGGCTTTCAAGCAAGAAAAAATCCAGAATTTTTCACTGGAAAGCAAACATCTCAGATGAAATGTGGTTTCTTTTCCTAAAGTTCTGTATACAGTAAAACTCACTGCCTTCAGAAGTGGTGAACAGCAAAAAAAAGTGTGGGCAAATTTATGAAACTCAAATTCATTGCCCCTGTGCATTCAACAGTTCTCTTCCCACTGCAGAGGCATCACCTGTTTACCTTCATGTATTATTCAAGAGAAAAGAGAAAATGCGAAGCAATGAGCGAAGAGCCCCTCTTCACTTGACACATGCCCCAGAAGATAAAAGCATAGTAAACCTGGGAAAAGTTGATGGAGCCAAAAAATAGATGGGGAACAAAATAAAGAGCATTACCACTTTTGCTAAGGTAGTGCTTGAAAGGATGTAATCTTTCTCTGCCCGTGTGGGTGATACATTTTCATCACACTAAGATGCAAAAGGCTTCCCAATGGCACTCGACCTCCTCTATTTCTGAGCTGTGCACTTTGAATTTGAGATAGGTAGGACACAGAGTTTGATTTGAATAGTACCTGAGTTACCAAAAAGCAGAGGGTTATTCTGGATGTGAGTTATAAAGAACAAGCTATGATGAAATGTTTTGACCCTGAGGGTTGGTAGTTAAGGTAATATGGTTAGGTTGTGGTTGGACTTGATGATCTTGAAGGTCTTCTCCAGCCTGAGCAATTCTATGATTCTATGATTCTGTTATCTGCATCATACCCTCTCTTGCTCCTGGGCTAAAATATGTAGGCAGGTAAAGAGGAGGGAGATCTCCCCTCTTTTCTGACACACACACAGCATGTTTTATCTGCAGTTCTCAGCAGTTTTACCCATTCAAGTCACAGCAGAAGCATTTTGGACACGACTCAGAAAATAAGCCCTGATTTCCAATTAGCTGCTTTGTCATTCTTTGCCCTTCTCTCATTGGTGCTGGCCATCGGCAGCTCCTGCTGCAGTCAGTGGGAAACGAGACAGGATATTAAAGCATTAATTTCTTTACTTGCTGCCTCAGTTTCTTAGCAATCTTTATCAAGATTACAGTCACCACAACATTAATCCCTGTGATAAAGGTCTTCAGATCGTGTGACAGAGAGGCAAAAATTATTACTGACGTAATGAGGGGGAATGAGCAATTGCTGTTGTAGAGCACTTGAAGCACTTACAGCCTAATCCCCCAGCAGCCCCAACATCCTATCAAGACATTTCCTTCCAAGGCACACTGATTCTTGTTGCTGTTGTCGTTATGGTTTTGATTCATTTGGTCAATATATGTCACAGAATCACAGAATTGTAGGGGTTGGAAGGGACCTCCTGAGATCATCGAGTCCAACCCCCTGCCAAAGCAGGTTCCCTACAGTAGGTCGCACAGGTAGGCATCCAGGCAGGTCTTGAACATCTCCAGAGGAGACTCCACCACCTCCCTGGGCAGCCTGTTCCAGTGCTCCGTCACCTCACTGTAAAGAAGTTCTTGCGCATGTTTGTTCGGAACTTCCTATGCTCCAGTTTCTGGCCATTTCCCCTTGTCCTGTCTCCACTCACCACTGAAAAGAGTCTGGCCTCGCCATTCTGCCCCCCACACCTTAGATATTTATAGACCTCGATCAGGTCCCCTCTCAGTCTCCTTTTCTCAAGGCTGAACAGACCCAGTTCACTCAGCCTTTCCTCATAGCAGAGATGCTCCAGGCCCTTCACCATCTTCGTGGCCCTCCGCTGGACTCTTTCCAAGAGATCCCTGTCTTTTTTGTACTGGGGAGCCCAGAACTGGACGCAGTGCTCCAGATGAGGCCTCACCAGGGCAGAGTAGAGGGGGAGGATCACCTCCCTCGACCTGCTGGCCACGCTCTTTTTAATGCACCCCAGGATGCCATTGGCCCTCTTGGCCAAAAGGGCACACTGCTGGCTCATGGCCGACCTGTCATCCACCAGGACACCCAGGTCCCTTTCCGCAGAGCTCCCCTCCAGCAGCTCATCCCCCAACCTGTACTGGTGCATGCAATTATTCCTCCCCAGATGCAAGACTCTACACTTGCTTTTGTTAAACCTCATCCGGTTTTTTTCTGCCCAGCTCTCCAGCCTATCCAGGTCTTGCTGAATGGCAGCACGGCCTTCAGGCGTGTCAGCCAATCCTCCCAACTTCGTATCATCGGCAAACTTGCTGAGGGTGGCCATTATCCCCTCATCAAGGTCATTGATGAAGATGTTGAACAAGACCGGACCCAGCACAGACCCCTGAGGAACACCGCTGCTTACAGGCCTCCAACCGGACTCTGCACCACCAACGACCGTCTGTGCTCTGCCAGTCAGCCAGTTCTCAACCCACCTCACTGTCCACTCATCTATCCCACACTTCCTCAGCTTTGTTATAAGGATGTCGTGGGGGACAGTATCAAATGCCTTGCTGAAATCAAGGTAGACTACATCCACTGCTCTCCCCCTATCCACCCTGCCAGAGACAACATCATAGAAGGCTACCAGGCTGGTCAAGCACGACCTCCCCCTTGTGAACCCGTGCTGACTACTCCTGATAACCTCCTCTTCTTCCAGTTGTCTGGAGATGACATCCAGTACAAGCTGTTCCATCACCTTTCCAGGGACAGAGGTGAGGCTGACTGGCCTATAATTTCTATAATGTCACTGCATCACCTAATGTATGGAAGCAAATCCCTGACCTCTGATAATAACCACCTATCAGCATAGTGTGTCCCCACTGATTGATTTTTTTTTCTGTCCTTACAGTGCCTCTTTAAGCTTCAATAACTGCAGTGATGGCACTTTTTCCAGTAAGATGTTTGCAATGACATGGCTGGAAAACCCTGCAGGCATAACAGAAAAGGTCTGGAAACCCTCAAATCAATGCATATGGCATATCCCAAGCTGAAACTCACCTGGAGAAGAGTCATTAAGAGGGTTCAAAGCAGCTGCCCTCCGTATTTTCTCCAGACAGGTTTCTTGCTCCTTTTTAATTATGCAGTTAGAATGTGTTGCTGTAACCTGAAATGGGAAGAAAAAAATGTGGTGAAAGAGCAGTAATAAACGTAAACTAGCTGGAGAGCTTATGAAGAGACATTGGGAAGTTTTGATGTTCCCTTCCAGAAAGAAGAAAGTAATAAAATCTTTAATAGATGAAACTGCAACAGACTTCTTGATGTTTATTTGTTTGTTCTAGACAGAAAGCTTAAGAGTGTTCCTAAGACTGTTTTTAATGCTGCCCTCTATCAAAGTGCAATCTGCAATGTGTTTGCTTTGCTTTATTGCATTTCTTCCTCATATAAAGCAGAAGCGAGGTTACCTCTAAATAAAGAAATAATGTAAAGAGGAATCAGAAATCATTTGAGGCTCTGTTTGATCTTCTGCCACTTTCTTATGAGTCTCACACTATCCATTAACCTCACTCAGGACCCTAAACTAAATTAAAGTTCTTGCTCCCAGTCTTTCACCCCGTCCATTCTTTAATGCTTCCTTCTGCCTTTCTTCCCAATGAATACAAGGCAGCTTGCTTGCCAAGACCAAAATGCAATGCCAATGCAACTGAAATGACTCGATCCAAAACTTCTTTTCTATCTTTATGGCTTAAGGCAGCCCACTGCAATAAAAAAAAAAAAAAGGAAAAAGAAGAGAAAAAAAAAAGATAAATGAATGTATAAGAGGAACATTGTGGCCAACAGAACGCAGGCAATCCCAAAGCAGCAACAAACTGAAAATGGGACCCGTTCTCAGAAATCAATAAAAGATTTCATTCCTGCTGCAGAAAGTGGCTAGGGGATATCAGTTCAAGGAAAACACAATCTCAGGTTTCATTAGACCATTCCACAGGGGTACTGCTAAAGTTCCAATCAAACTCAGTGGAAAGTCTCCTGAAAATCCACACGCTGGTTGAAGATGGGGTAGGTCAGCTCAGCTCAGCTCACTGCAAACTACTTGGTTGTTCTGCATTTCCCATCCCATTTTCTTCACTCTAGATAACTAGGAGTGGTGTGTATGTGCCAAGTGATAAACAGAAACAAGCAAGTAGGGAAAACAACACCTGAATCCAATCTGTTTCTGTTTATTTTTGGAATCCCATCCACACAGATTGCCTTTACTTCCCTCACAACACCATAGACGGAATGGAGGGAACGGTTTGGGTCACTAATGCATCAAATAACCAGCACACACTTTATAAGGGTAGATAATGGCAGGACAAGAGGAAAAGGTTTTAAGTTGAAGGAGGGAAGATTTAAGTTGGATATTGGGGGGAAACTCTGTACTATGAGAGTGGTGAGGTGCTGGAACAGCTGCCCAGAGAGGCTGTGATGCCCCGTCCATCCCTGGAGGTGTTCAAGGCCAGGTTGGATGGGGCCCTGGGCAGCTGGTCTAATATTAAACGTGGAGGTTGGTGGCCCTGCATGTGCTGGGGGGGGTTAGAGATTCATCATCCTTGAGGTCCCTTCCAAGGCCATTCTATGATTCTAATACATGCTTACAACACATCCCACAGCATACACAACCCAAGTATGGTTATACTTGGTTGTGCTCTTCTGTATGCAAAGAGGCAGGGACCCACTTGCAGACTTTTGGCATTGTAACAGTTACCAACCCTACCTCAAAGACAGGATGTCACAATGAACCTCTAATGGAAAGCCTTCCTCACCACTGGAAGGAACTGCTATTGCTACACAGTTCCACCTCCAAAATCCCAGTAATAAATTTAAGCCCTCTGCCCCATGGGACACACCAAGCACAACTATATTAGAGTTGTTTTTCTTCAAAACAAAACACTTTCTGTTTTAAGGGCTCCCAAGGGCCTGGAAAATATATCCTGTCACAGACCTCTACGATCTCTCAAGAACATAACGGTTTTTACTACATCATCCCCTGAACCTCTCCAAAGACAGGGAAATTTCTTTGGTCACACAGCTGCCCATGTCTGAAAGGAGTGTCTGGGAGCTGTCTCAATATAAGAACTTCACACTTCCTATGCAGTTCAGCATGTACAGATTACAAAAGCTTTGATTTTGTATTTGTCAAACCTGCAGAGGCAGAATACAAAGAAACAATAAGAAATGTCTCTTTACATGTTTATTGTTAAGCTGCAGAATTCTCTGCAGCTTCATATCATTGATGTTGAATGTCCATTGGAGTTCACAACATATCAAAGGATGGATGGATTCAAAGTCCATCACAGGATACAAAACATTAGAAACCCACCACATCCAACTTCTGGCCCATGGAAGTAGAGAAGAAGATTTAATTTAATCTATAATCAAAGGTCAGAAGAGTGTGATTTACCCTTCAATGTTTTGCATCTTCTTTAGTCAGTAGGGACCTTTGTGTGCTGATGGGCAGTCGGCTGAATATGAGCCAGCAGTGTGCCCAGGTGGCCAAGAAGGCCAATGGCATCCTGGCTTGGGTCAGGAATGGAGTGGTGAGCAGGACCAAGGAAGTCATCCTGCCCTGTGCTCAGCACTGGTGAGGCCTCACCTCGAGTGCTGTGTTCAGTTTTGGGTACCTCTGTACAGAAAGGACATTGAGGTGCTGGAGCAGGTCCAAAGAAAGGCAACAAGGCTTGTGAAGGGCTTGGAGAATATGGCCTATAAGGAGAGACTGAAGGAACTGGGGCTATTTGGTCTGGGGAAGAGGAGGCTGAGAGACCTTACTGCTCTCTTCCAACACCTGAAAGGTGATTGCAGCAGAGCAGTGCTGGTCTCTTCTCATTGGTGACAGGAGGAGAGGAAATGGCCTCAAGTTGCACCAGGGGAGATTTAGGTTGGATAGCAGGAAAAACTTCTATACAGAAAGGGTTGTTAAGCACTGGAATAGGCTCCCCAGAGAGGTGGTTGAGTCACCAACCCTGGATGTGTTTAAATGTGGTAGATATGGTTAGCGTGGTATAGTTTGGTTGTAGTTGGACTTGATCTTTAAGGTCTTTTCTAACCTGAGCAATTCTACAAATCTAACAGACATTAAAGAAGTTATCAAGGAACAATGAAACTAAGATAGAAAACAAAGAGAAGGAGAAAAGAGCAACCTCAGTGAGAGAATAGGAGCTGCCTGTCATCTCTGCTAATTAGCAGTGTCTTTTCAGAGAAAATAAAGCCATGTTTGGATCACTTATAACAAAACATTTCTTTGTTGAAGGCAGAGATGCTTTCAGGTTATCATGTTCTCCTGAAAGGATCCATATGTTTCACGTGTCTCCACTCGCTACGTACTGGCAGAGTTTATGCCTTTCATCTGTCAAGCCAGTCTTTAAGAACTGAACAGCAGAGCACAGCCGAAATGGCAGCATATGCTCGAACTTCATGGCCTCACGATGTCAATTCTTTTGCCTCAAGGACATTTACGATTTCCTGAACTCATTGTAGGCAGTCTGGTGGCTGCTTCCCAGAAGATATCAGTGACACGTGCTGTTAAGAAATGTTTTGACATGTACCAGAAAAAATGAGGTGGAAAACACAGGAAGTTCACATTTAAATTTGAAAAATATGTATTACTCTCAATGAAGTAGAGGAGATTGACTCACACCAGTTTTGAAAAGGAATGTATCTTCAATAGATTTTTAGTTCTTCTATTTCTCACTGCTCTAATCTAAATAAATTACATTATTCTTCCTGCACTGAGCCTGTTTTGCCCTTGAAGGTAATTGGTGAGTGATCTCCCTGTCCTTATCTCAACTCATGAGCTTTTTTTCACTCTATTTTTTCCCCATCGCTCTGAGGAGGCAAAAACATCAGTGTGGTGGAGTAAATCTGACCATCAGTGTGAAACCACCACTCGAAGTCTCTGTAGATGTGCAATACGTCGACAGCTTTCATTTATTCCTCTTTTATACTTATTATAGCAATTGCCACAGAAAGCAACCTGTGACTGATGGTTGATCCCTTGACAATAATTTTAATAACTCACGTTATCATGTAACAGCATAAATGTACTCTCTCACATCTCAAGGTGCTGCTCCAATAGGAACTTTTCTGTTACAAAAGCCACTATTAGTGCACAAGCCTGAGCTGCACAAGTCTGCCACATCCAGACCTGACCTAGCCACATGCATGCATCAGATTAGCAACTGTTTAGAGTCAACTATTCAAGCAAGGCATTCCTCAACATGTGGATGCTCTGGGGAAGTAACCATGTAGAAGGCATTATGCAGTTCAGAAGGCTAGCATATACTTTTTTATGGAAATAAATAGGTGTAGACAGCTTCTTTCAGCAGATATTCTCCTTCTTTCAAGAACACCAAACAAGAGAGGTGAAGATAAATTTGTGAGCAACTTCTTCCTCTCCACACAATTTCTGTATTGCAAAGGTGACATGGCAAGCTCCTTGATTTGGTGCATAAAGGTCTATCTACAGAGCACTGTAATAACCTTTCATCTCTTCCCAGCATGTATAATGACTGTGCCCTGATTGAGCTATGGGGTGGTACAAGTCAGTGACACTGCTTCCTGGGCCCTCATCCCATGTAAACCTGCAAATGAGGAGAGAATAGTCCTGAAAACACACCCAAGTAGCACAAAGCTTGGCTGAGAGTAGACAGCTCCAAGAGAGCAGCACTGGATTGCATTAGGAAGATGCTTCCTAACCACGGGCATTGAGGAACACGACATATAAGCCGAGCACCATGCTTAGGCAGCTGTTCTGGCTGCATGTATGACGCTATCTGACATATGGCTATAACCAAGGGGAAGAAGTTAGAAGACTCAGTACAGATGTCCAGACCATTTAACGTGCCTTAGGGTATCTCACTTCACCTTCAGTTGCTGCTGTCAGCACTGGACTTTATGCTTGTCCTTTGTCAGGATATTTTGGACCCTGTAATGCACAGCTAATGGAAAAAGGCTTTTACACTTCAGCACTTGACTCATTTTCTAAGTTATATATCAAGTACATGAGCAACTTCTCAGACACATGACAGGACATTCTTTATGAAAGGGAACGCCATCCTGGTGCTACATTCAGATTCACTGAAAAAAATGTGTGCATGAGAGAGGTATTTGGGTGGCTGGAATCAC